TTTTTTCCTTCTTCTTTAGAATAGAAAATCTCGTATGGAAAGTGCCACTCACTGCATCACCAGATTTCAGTTGTTGATGTTGCGTTTGTACAAAGCTGAGATTTTCATCATTTTTCCACCAAAAAATCAAATATGAAAACACCAAAAATGTAATAAATACTTACAATAAGAATCGAGAAAAGAAAGGGAGAATACTGATGGCTTTGCGATGGATTGGTCATTGGAGGAGACTAGGGTTTTCTTTCATGGTTAATGGGAATGGGAGGGACAAGGGAGTGAGGGATAGGGGAGACATTGTACCCCTTTTTTTTTTTTTTTTCAGCTTCCAAGACTTTTTTATATTTTAATTTTCTATACGGGTTGGGTTGGGTTGGGCGGTGTTGGGTTGGGTTTATACCATAACCCATAACCCGACCCGACCTGATAGAAAATGTCAAATAAAAAGTCGAACCCAACCCATTTCATTGCAAAAATCGACTCAAACCGAGCGTTTGGGTTGGTTCGGTCGGTTCGAGCGGTTTGGGTAGGTTTTTGCCCACCACTAGTCCCATGCAAAAAATAAAAATTCAAATTTGGTGGCTTGATGTGATAAATAACAGTCATATTTTTCATTTTAATGGGGAAATAAAGAGAAACAAACATGGGCTTAATTTGAACAATAAACATGAAGTTGACTATTTGGTAAGGATTTTGTCAATTTGCCAAAAGAAATTTAACACGTGCGATGACAAAATCCGAGATGACAGTAGATGATTTGATGAAAAAGTTAATTGTGTTTAAAACATTCCAATCATGAGATGTCGTGTGACATTATATCAAGTGTTATGGCACTTTAGCATGATTCATTTGATAATGGCAAGGCTGATGATGCCTGAATTATAATCATGAGTCGTGTGTTATTTTAATTAATTAGACAAAAACTGTCCACTTCAGGACTTATTTGTTCTAATATCAAAAAGTTGGAGACTTGCTTGTTACACATTGAAGTGGGCGGACTCTGTTCCATTCTAAAATAGGTTGAGAAACTCAGTGCAAACAATAGTAACCCTCATAATTTGTGCTGCGTATTGGTCATTACTTATTACTACATTTCCAAACCAACTGAAAAGTAAATCTGCGTAGTTGATTTTATAGGTTTAATTTCATCTTTGGTCACTGAACTTCAAACAAAATTTTAATTAGATCATTAAGCTTTAATTCTTCTTACTTGAGTTCCTGAATTTCAATTACCTACACTGTAATGTTTCATTACATATCGTCTTCAAAACTAACGGAAATTGCTTTGTTGAGACCCTGGAGCATGTCATAACTCAATGTGTAGCTCATGTTTGGTAGAAATTTAAATTTTGATTTAATTCAAGTCAAAGTTAATAATTAATTTTGTTCACATATTTCATTGAACTCAAATTTTTTCAATCACACATTTCATCAACTTTTATTAAAATCAACTAAAAATCTAATTTTAGCGTCATAATAATTTATTGGAGAATGTATGGCTAAAAATGAAGTAAAAGTTTTAGGTTAAAGTGTAATATTATATTATGGACTTTGCTTAGCTACACAAATAGGACACGTGTTAGATACTGATTGGTCAATTTTATTTTATTTAAAAAAAAAGACCAGGTGTTGACATGCAACACCTGTTTTCAAATCCCGTCATTTTCACCTATTTGGATAGATTTGTCCTTATTTTATTGAAAAATGTATGATTGCTATGAAAAGATAGGAAAATGAATAATAATTTAAATTCCCATCAAACAGTTACATAATGTAAAACATCAAAAATTAAGGATAATGTTTTAACAAACATATTGTTTTTTATTTAACGCTTTTATAATATGGTGTAATGATAAAAAGATGTATGCGATACGAGTATCAACTAAACCATTTTTATCAATTTAAGAGACATAATAAAGTGATAAAATTCAAAATTAAATTAAAGTTGAAGATCCATCAAAGTTCAACGGCGCAATTGAAAATTCAATTATAGCAGGTTGGGGCATTTATGTCATGTCAGCAACTCAGCGATTTTATTTATGGGCCACACGCTTTCCCTTTAATATTGTTTCTAGAAGTATTAGTCGGCCCATGCTTGCCTTTGGGTAGCTTCAACCAGGGTGGCCCATATTTTTCTTCATGCGTAAGATTTGGAGGTCAAACGCGCCAAACTTTATAGTATGGACAGTGCTATATGTACACAGGAAGTTACATGTTTGTCACGTGCGTACACTTCTCTCACAAAAGGGGGGCCCATAGAAGCGTGTAACCTCCCGTATACAAATAGCAAATTTCTTATAGTATCTTCAATGTAACTAAGGATTGCTTTAAAATTAATACAATATAACATAATAGATGATATTTAAAAATTAATCTTTGAAAGTGGACATGGACTAAATAGACAGCTAAACAAATTTGATATTTTCTTTCCACATTTATATTTCATATAAATATATAAAAATGATTTTGATTTTTATCGTAAGAAAATAAAGGACACCTAATAAGTAGCTATAGAGACCAATTCTATAGACATCAATGCAGCATATTCTGAAAGTCTACCCAAATAGCAATCTATTCTTTTATTTTCTTTTTCTTATTGTCATCAATGCAGTTTTTAAGCGGTTGATCACGAAGAGATCATCCAAGGAGTATAAAAGGAAGAAAAGACATAGAGCAAAGCACCCCGAATCAAACACTCTCAAATAGAGAATATGTAACTTTCAATTTTTTAGTTTAGATTTAAACACTTCTTTTCAGTAACTCGTGTGCTTGCGCCCCTTGGAGGCATTCTGTTTTATTTTTCCAATTGTAAAGTCATCGCTAATAAAAACACCCATTTTTGGGACTTTGTCTCAAGAGGTTTGTCCCTTACACAATCGTCTGATCTCTTTTTAATTGTTAGCGACTAACCCGCGCGAAACAATTTGGCACGCACAGTAAGATAGTGGTGTTTGGTGTTGAAGATACAAAAGGTGAAACAATATGTCTCAGAGATCCGATAAGGAAGCAGCAAGTCAGGGAGGAGTCCAGTCTGTAATCGAGCGATATGAGGAACAGCATAGCTCTCCACGAACAAATGAACAGAATCAGAGCAGTAACAGTCGTTACGAATCAATGACAGAGTTGAGTCCTCGAACTATGCGTGCACTACTTGGAGAACTGACACAAGATGTCGTTGAACAGGTAAATCTTCGAAATATTCATAATATGAAAAGATTTACCCAGAATGGGAATGCACATTATGACAACATGGCCAAACAACTGAATACTTTGAACGAAATAATGAATAAATTAGTAGGCCAAATTTGTCAACCAGTTATGCCTATTGCAAACCACTTTCAAACTAGGACAATTGTGGGACATAATCCCCCAGTCCTAAGTTTGAATCAAGGGGTAGAACTACCTTTTGATCCCTCTACTTCAAACCAGGGGGGTGGCGCAATACCAAATCAGAATAGTGGCATTGGTATGTCTAACTTGAAGGATAATCCAAATGTGAGAGATAATGTCCTAAATAATGGGCAGAATACCCCACGTGTTAATGAGGGAATAAATGTTCAGGCTAATGGTAACAATGACCCAAATCATGGTAACTTTGTTCCCAATCAAGGACCAAACATCAGGCCTCAAGCAAATCAACCGGTCAACCAACCTGTAGGGATTCCATATAACCCCAACGTCATGTTGAGGAATCAGATTATGGAAATCGTACAGGACCAAATGGCTTTTGGGGTACGTCCTATCATTAGGCCGACTTACATAAAACCATATCCTGATTGGGTAGACCAAGCATATCCATGGCCTAGAGGGTATAAAGTGCCAGAATTCTCACTGTTTACAAGTTTAGGGGAGGTGTCTACTCTAGAACACATAGGGCGATTCACACTGCAAAGTGGTGACATAACGAATTATCATAAAATGAGGCTTTTCCCTAGTTCATTAACAGGAGTAGCTTTCTCCTGGTTCATTAATTTGCCAGCGAACTCTGTTCAAACATGACAACAATTGGAACAATTATTCCACGCTCAGTTTTATAAGACTGAGACTGAAGTTACTTTGGCCGATTTGGAGAATCTACGTCAAATGCCAAACAAATGGGCAGAAGGTTTCCTCCAAAAGTTCAAGACAGCAAGAAGTAAATGTTTTGTACCTCTGCCCGAAAAAGAGTTTGTCAAAATCGCTCAAGGTTGTTTGAGCTTTGATTTGAAAAAGAAATTCCAAGAAAAGGAATTTCCTGACCTTTTCCAATTGAGCGCGAACGTGATTAGGTATGAACGATTGATAAGAGAAAAAGAGCAGATAAAAAGTTCTAGCAAGAGGACTTATTATAGAGACCCAAATTTTGATATTCATACCATCAATAACGAGTCATACAATCA